GACGAATGTATTATAATGTGGTGAATTCTATAAGCCTATGAATTATTTAGAAATAGTGGTGGAAAAAAATCTACTAAATTGAATTTATTAAACCAAGAATCGCAATTGATAAACTACCAATTTAAAATATATATTTGCTGTCCGGAGCAAGCTGGCATCTCTGTGAAAGTAATAAAGTTGCCTTTCATATGATACTTTGAAATTTCCATATGTAGTGGTGGAAAAATTACTTAAAAAGAAAGATACTTAACTAAAGGTAAACTAAGTTACCACTATAAAATATTTTTTTACAAAGAGGTGCAAGTTAGCATCTCTGCATATGTAGAGATGCCAACTAGCTCCGCTTTGTAAAAAAATTCTAGTGGTAGCGAAATTATTTTCTAATATATGTTTCTTAATGTATATATATATTTCTCTTACACGGCGATAAAAAAAAGCCTTATTACAACTCTCCGAATGGCAACGCTAGAAAATCAACCAATAATTGCCGCTAAAAATGTCACATGCCAAATCTAGATTGGGTGGCTCAACATATAGCGCTTCTAAAAACGGAAACTGAAATAACCAGAGTGTAAAATATTATGTGCTTATGCGCATCGTATTTTTTGTTAAATAATTTATTTATTATATATCAGTTTATAGATGGTAACGAGAAGAGTTTTGTGGTTGCTATGGTGACTAATTAGAAGGTAAATTGTTTTTTTGAGTGAGTGTGAGATTTGTTTTTTGGAACTGCGATGCTGTAATTTTATTGTTTAGTTAATAAATCTTCCTTTTATATTAAACGTGATAGTAGTTTCCTTAATTATTTGATTCGAAGTCCTTGGAGTTTTATTTGAGGTCAGTTTATTTTGTATTTTTTGACAAGAGAGAGCATTCTCACCAAACGAGATTTCTTCCGAAATTCAATGTTTTGTTTATGCAGGGTTTTTCCATTGCAATTTCTCTTATTTAAATTTTTAATAGACTTAATTATAGCCAAAATTTTAACCTTTTTAAAGAGATATCAGTTTTAGAAATTTTATCTTAAGATTTTATACTATAGCACATTTCTAATAGGTTTAACGAATTACATGTCATTTATTTGAATTCAAATTTATTTTAATGACTTAGTATTTACTAAAAAGATGTAATTTTTTTTTAAAAAAAAAGTTGTTATATGGATTTGAATGATTGTTTTGAATTCTTAGAATTTTGTGCATTTGCAATGTACCTAAGTTAGTAGCGAGCGAAGCAAACCATATAAGATTGCGTAGCAATTTTCGGGGGTTGGCGAGCGTTAGCGAGCAGGGGGCACAGCCCACTAGTTTAATAAATTTGTCTAATAGGGTTTTTCCTCGTCATAACTCCTAAATAATCCAAAGGCTTACTTGATAAGTCACTTTGTTGCAGGGAAGCCATGTTGAGAATTTTAATAAGTTGGCAAAATTAAATGGTATAATTTATTTTTTCAAAATTACTGAAGTTCCGAAAGCCTGTTTGGTTTTTAAATGTCTACCACTATATAAAATATTTTGCGAAAAACATATTAATTGGCAGGCCTGCATACAAGTAGTTTAACCGGTTAACGCCCAGCGTCATACATTTAGGACAGTTCCATTTTTCAAAGACATTCGTTGTGGTGGGAAACTTTTCTCAAGATTTTCATTTATCTGAGTGAATTAAAAGATTCACAGATACCACAATCATTTAGTTATTTCTGATTATATCTGGAATAATAAGGAGCAAGTACTTTTATATCTATCAAAGACTTTTTGAATGCATTAACAGTAGAAAAACCAATTAATTTCGATAATATAATATACCACCTTTTCCATAAAACCACTTTTTGTATCATTTTAATTCATAAATTCGGGACAAAACGGGTTAACATTTACTGTAAAAGCAAGAAAAGATTATTATATTAGCAATGCCTCACAGTCATAGTATCATAAACGTAAACGCTATGCGTGACCTTTTGTAATTTTGAAATTGAAATTTTTAAAACCGAGCGAGACGGGCGTTTTTTTTTTTTTTTTTTGAAGAGATAAGCTGTTTTGTATATAATTAACGAAGTTAATAATAATTTGATATTTTTTTAAGTGACTCTATTTCCAACTACACTAAATCAAAATTTTAAATAAATTATTGGTGATTCTGCTAGTCTAGAATCAGCGCTATAGGATATTTACACACTTTTTAGCTAATCTTTATTCCGTTATTTCCTGAATTTAATCCTGATCCTGTTTTTGAACGAATGTTTTTTTTTTAAATCACCCGTCCCAGATGGTTAAATGATTTTGTGCATACAATTGTCTACCTAGCATTTTAAAGTGCTTGGATTGCGAAGGGTTAAAGTGGTTGCAAATTAACTCACAACTCCTAATCCTAGCGTTTTGATTTTATTGAGCATCTGGGCTGCGAAGCGGCCCCTATCCCATTCATCTGGAATTTCATCACTGTTTTGGTGGAGCACTGATGTAAGTGGGCAGTGGTCGCGCAACTCAAATGTGTTTCAAATTTTGTATGCGTGTCTTCCTCAGAAAAAAAATCCAGTTTTTATCTGATATATGTTTCGGAGTAAAATATACCTGATCATCAAAATTTATCACAATTATACCTTATACAAGATTGCTAACTTATATTTTTTTAAGTGATAGACATTCAAAAACTAACATTTTCAGAATTTTAGTTTGCTTTGCTAAGAATTAAAAAGCTTTAACTTGATGGAAATGCAACAAAGTCGCTTTTTAAATGAACTTTAAATCATTTTCAAGTAATAGGATGGGAAAATATTTTAAATCAAATTTATTAAAAAAGGAAACATATGTTTCCTTATGTATAACTTAACTTTAAAACTTAAACTTTGCTACCACTAGAAGAATTTTTTCCTGAAAGCGTAAAATGTTGGCAGAGCCTTGCATTAAACAGGAGTGTTTCTTTTCCTGGAAAAGTAACTGGTGAATAGTTCGTAATTGTAATAGTAGACGCTTTCCTTTTCCCCATTCCCAAAATTTTTCCCATTTTAAGAAATAAAATAGTTTTTCTAACAGTATAAATAAAATAGTATTTTTTTACCAATTTTGTCTTTTTCTCCGAGTCCAAACAGCTATGAAAATTCAAAAACACTTCAGCATACTAAATAGGTGTCTTCCATAGAAAATTAAATTTGGTTCAAATGAGAACTTAAAAAAATTTGCTATCACTTCAAGTAATTGAGATAAGATAGGCAGGTCTTTACTACTACGAGAATCTCATCACAATTCACTTGCAACCACTAGAAAAATTTGCAAGTTAATAATTTAATAATATTTTATAATACAAAATTTACTTTATACGCTTGAAAGTATTTAGTCATTGTTAAATGCAATTTGCCAAATAAAATTAAAAAAAAAAAAAAACGCTATATTCAGTTGATATTTTGAAAAAGCAATTGAACAAAAGAAAGAATTTGAACAAAAATTTGAGGTAATGAGGAAAATATTAAGCACTTTTCGATGAAAATATCAAAACTGTTAAATGTTTGAATAAAAAAAGTAAAACCGCAAAAACAATTCTTTAATTTAAAATTAAAATTTATTGATCATCATACAGACATAAAATTTAAAAATATGCTAAGTGACGAATTTACTAATATTAATAATGGAACAAATTCCCCAGAACTTGAAAAAAAGTTATGAAATACTTATTACTACTCAATATTTAACTTTGAGATTAAACAACCAAAAAGGTTTAGACAACCTTTTACAAAAAAAAAAAAAAAAAAAAANAAAAAAAAAAAAAAAAAAAAAAAAAAAAAAAAAAAAAAAAAAAAAGGAGAGAGAAATCCGGGTTTAGACGTCTAACTTTAAAAAACGTGTAGAGTGGAGATGTACTTTAAAAAAAGTGCGTTGTGTGGGAATGATCCTCATAAAAGAAGGTTAATATATTGGCACCAGCCGTAGAACACAATGAAGAGAAGGGTTATGTCTCGTGCTCTGTATGGTCCTCAGATGATTCCAATTAGTGTGTTCTTGTCATTTAATAACAAAAAATAAAAATAAATAACAGTTATGTTTTATCAAGCAAAGGTGGTTACGTATCTAAACAACTAACTCCTTGCTTTTCCACATAAAAATTAGTGATTACGTTTGATTTCGATTTTTATATTAAAAATGAATTGTCCTAGGGATAAAAACACGTTTATAGTAAAACAACAGTTCAATGAATCTAATGACTTTTATTTTTTTATCCATTACATTTTATTCTTCTAGTTTTTAAACAGAGAACAAATCAAGTCAGTATAATTTTCTTTAGAGTTTTGCTAATAATTACGCTTTACTTTCTAATATATTATATGATTTTTGCTAAAAAAAAAAAAGAAATATCTAAGTCAATTAAAGAGTAGTTTTTGACGTCGATACGTTACATATTATTAAAATTATTAGTTCTACAAATGAATTTTTTCTGTATTTGTTGAAAACATTCATCGACACTTTATTGAACTAAAAACTTGAAGAAGTAGACAAGAAAAGTTACATTTGTCGTTTTTATTTTATCTTCATACGAAAATTTTGAAAATAAAAAAAATTTGTATTCATGTATTTTTGAAGTCAAATTCTCCGTGCATAACTGTAATAGGAAAAAAGAAAAAAAAGAAAAGTATGGAGAAAGCATGTGAAGTGTTGCCATGGATAGAAATATTTTTTCTCCGCTTCACCTGTAGCCCATTTTGATAGCCAATACGTCACATCCCGTTTTACAGAGAGGACACATTTACACACCATTCATCCGCGGATCGTTAGCTTGACCTGAACCACAGCACGATCAAATTCCGATGCAGTACCCCAGACGTATTGATTCGCTGTGGCAACTTGGAAGATTTTGAGACCCAGACAGATTTAGCGTGCTCCAGTGTCAATTTCGTACATTGGGAGTATTCAGTCGCAGGGATCGAACTCCCAAACGCACGAACATGGATCGAACGACCTACTAGCCAGGCTTTTCAGGACCCAATCAATGAAAATAGCACAATTCCGACGAAGCTAATGTCGAGCTGAAATAGGCAGTCAAAAGCTTTATAAGTTAACGAAATTTGACTTACAAAGAAAATATATGAAATTTTCTTGAACTACTATTTTAATTTGAATAGAGAGCAAAAATTTTCTTCGCTGAAACTGAAACCTTTAACGATATTATGATTAAGTGGGTGTTAAAACCGTATGTTATAATTGGTGTTGGCGTTGGAGTCGGTGTTGTCACATGTGTAATCCGTGTGTTGCGGCAGCATAATAGTGAAGAAATTGAACAAACACAAACTAATCGAATAAGTCGGGCTGTCCAAATTCCGAAAGGGTTTGTTGGTCATGTCTTAGGACGAGGTGGATCAACTATAAAAGGCATTCGGGAAAAAAGCAAAGCTCGAATTACCTTTGATGATACAGGTCTAATTCCCTATCATGTTACTATTATTGAATTGAGAAACTTTGTTGTTAATTGTTTTGATATACTTAATGAGTTTTAAAACTTAATTAATTCTTTTTTTTGTAAAGGTTATACAGTTAATACTGAAGTTTGGATTTAATAATTTTATTAATAGTGGCTTTTTCAAACAGAATATCCGAAAATATATTGAGAAGTAGAATGAACCAATACTGTTTTAATTTAAAAGAATATCATAGATTGTTTTAAAAATGTTCTTGCTTTCTCTCATATGTCTAATGTTGGCAATTATTAGGCATGTTATTTTGTGACCCATACATTTCCACATCATGATATGTAGCACCAACTGCAGTTGCCAAAAAAAATGAATGGATTTTAAACTTGCAATATATTTAAAAAAAATCAGTTTGCCTGAGGCAGCTTATGAATTATACCCTTTATTAGGAGATTTTCGTATCGTGATCTGTGGCAGAATAATCGCCAAGCCTCGGAAACTTCCGGGCAGTGGCCCGACAGAAAATAAAAAACACATCACAGTGAAATGGACCAACTTGAAAGGTATAACTCATAGCCACCCCTGGGCAAGCATCTACTTGTTTTTTTTTTTTTTAAATTTGCAAGTTTAAAATCTATTTGGCAACTTGGTGATTATAGTTGTCGCGACAAATCACAATACGGAAATATCTCCCCGTGACGTTATAGATGGGGACCAGCATAAAGGGGGTGGGCAGTGCCTTTATGCTGGTCCCCATCTATGGTCTCACAGGACACTGCCTGGAAGTGGTTAATACTGTGTGATTATTTTGCCATCGATAATAATATGGATATATCCTTTCTGTGGCAATAGAATAGCCCCTAGCAACACAGCTTAGCAGCCCTTTACATCAATTGCTGATGAGGTCCACCGTTTTAATCAAGCAAAAATATTTGAACGTAAAATAAAGGAGGGATGCAATAGCTCTGCCTTAGTGATATTTTTTTAACTTTATAATTTCTGTCTTTCCTCTCTTCCTCTTTTTTTTTAAAAAAAAAGATCAAAGTGTATACTGATCAAAATATTCTAAAGGTCACTTATTAATTATTTAGTATTGCCTTTTACTCTTTCAGAAAGAGGTTTTTTTTTCTAGAAAAAAAGTGATTTATCTCTCATTGACTATTTGATTCTATAGCTATGAATCTATTAGCAAAAATGATGAATTAAATTTATCTGATAAAAATCGCCTCTCTACAAGTAATATTAATGTATAGTAATTTATATAAAAAAAAACTACTTTTTAAGAAATGCTTGCCCATTGTGAAATTAAACAAGGCTATTTCCAAGAAATCATCCAATTAAATTATGAGATTCCATTAATCAAAAACTGCTAAGTAAACTTATTTACTATAAGTAGAACGCTTGGAAATTATGTTTAAATAATTGCTTCTTTCTAAATAAATTATTGAACAATAATTATATAACATGAGTTAAAGCCATTAACAGCCTTTGATACATGAATCAAAATTGCAGTAAAAGAGGTATTTTGGCAATATAAAAGTTAACTTTTAAACAATTTGTCTATAATTATTATTTTTGAAATCAGCACCGTAAATTCTATACATGTATAAGTTTTCATCAAAATCTTAGGTAGAGGGTGCCATTTTTAAAAAGATTTGCATGTTTTGATGTGGAATAGCACTTACTCAATTTGGTAAATAAAATTTTTGAAAATTCAAACAAATTTTTGTTTCCCGAACATCAATTCTAAGCTATAAACAGATTTTATTTTTAATAGGGAAAAAAACCATTCTAACCCATAAACTAAATTTCAAAACAATATCCTACTGATAGTGCAACTTTGTGTAGTAAACATATCTAAATTTCTTATATTAAATGTTGCTTGGAAATCAGCTACAATTTGTTGGCAACTTCGTTCGTAGGATTTGTTGACCCTTGCCTGTACCTGATGTGTGTACTTTTTTTATTTAACATTTGCTTCAGTATTGACCTGAAGTCATAATATCTACCTCAAGATTGTATTATAGGTACTAAAGGTATAATTGTAAACTATTAATATTTTGCAATGACAAATAATTTGTTTAATTTTATTTCTTGCTATCTCTTTTTATTCCATAGCATATTTTAGAAATAATAATGTTTGCTACTTTTTACAGATAAAGAATTTACGATCGCCACTATTAGAGGGTCTGTAGAGGAAGTAGAAGAAGCGGTGAACCTTATCAATGGGATATTGACTAGTCGCCATGCATGTGCTACAAAAGAAATTTTTTTGCAAGAAAATCTAACTGACTCAGTATGGAAGAACGTGCATTATATCAGGTATGATATTGTATGGTTGGTTGGTTTGGTTTTAATTGGATCAGACCCTATAGAGCTTTAAAAAAGAGCTTTTGCTCTTTTAACACTTATTTTTTGTTTCTAAAACCATCATTGTTTATAGAACTTGTGAATGCAAGAAAAATAAATATTTTTTCATAATTTATTACCCATGATTTAGCATTGAAGAAGTTATGCTGTAAGTTTATTGAATTATAATTGAAAATTTTGTAGAATTGAAGTAGAACTAAAAAAAATCTGGTCTTTAAGGACACATTAGTTATTAGTATTTTTGTAACAATACCCTAAGAAAGTAACAAAAAACTTAAAAATTATTTGACTAGTATTTTGTTTATTAAGTATATTTAAAAACAAATTCAGTTAAAGTTTTATTTTTTTCTGGCAAAAAAAAACAAACACTCATTTAAAAATCCAAAATTATTTCTGAAAAAAAAGGCGGGGATTTTAATTGTAAAATTCAAATATTTACTAAAATTAGCTTATTTTTATTTGCATTTTTCTTCATTTTCACAGGGGAGGGGGACATTGAAAAAGCTAAAATAATAAATGGGTTTTGTGCAACACTTTTTTTAGACGAAATTCTTTTAAATTAAAATCTTTTTAAAAGCAGATACATATTTCCCATTCTTTACTAGTTCCGTTTATTGAGATGCATATCAAGTTCTGCCTTTTGAAAAAATTAATTTGAAAATTTCAGTATAATTAAGTTTCTTTTGTATGATTTAATATATATTATTGATATTAATGATTTTTCAGATTTTTTTTTAAATAAATTTTGTTACTGTTTTTCTGATGAAAAATATTTCCATTAGTACTTAACAATGAAAAAATTTGAAATAATGTGAAATAACGTAATTAGGTTAAATATTCTATCAATAATTTAAAAATGATTTTTAAGTTAGTTTTAACACAAACTCTGTTTTGATGTTTTAAATTTAAAGAACTAACAAATATTTATTTAGAAATAAACATGAAATATATTACTTCTTTGACTAGTCATTATATTTTGTGTTAGTTTATAAGAACCTGATGGTGTTGGACATGACATTCTCACTAATGCCTGTACAAGTTTGATTTATCAAATTTCCTATTTTGTATTTTATGTTATGTGGAGACGGTTTACACTCATGTTTTGGGCATGATCTGAAATTGTATTGAGCTGTCCATCATAATCTGATAAGTTATACCTATGTGGGGAAAAAAACTAGTTTAAAATTTTATTTACCAGATAGGACAATTTTTACTCCAATTTCCTTCCATTTATATAGAATTTTTTCCCCCTCAAGTTTGATTTTATTTATTAAACATTTCTCTTTGTTTCATGTTAAATTTTAGGGGCTGTGATTACTGTTAAAATCTACCTGATTTTCTACTCACATTATTGTACTTAATGATGTAAATCTCATTTTCTCTGGTGTATTTTGAACTTTATGCTATGCAACTAATTGTAATACTTACTGTTATAAGTAACTTTTCAAAACTTCTGACACATTTAATGACATTTAATATCACTACAAAAACAAACTGAAAAATAAGTTTTACTGTATTGTAATTCTTTACAAATCTGATAATTCTCTCCATTCACCCTACAGACAATCTTGACACCATCCGAGGCCGTATCTTGTAGTGTCTGCCTTATAAATAAGGGGTGGCCACAACCAATTTGTAGTACAAAGCTTAACTAATCTCATCCTAAAATGATGCAGACAAAAACTCTCAGCCTTAAAGTTCGAGATTCACTTAATGTAGCGCAAATTGGGAAAAATAAATCAAAATTAATTTCAAAGCTATAAAAATTCATTTTGGGGACTTTAATTTCTGTTCATGTTTTAAAATCAAATTCTATTTCTAAGCTCTGTTTAAGGACATTTCTGTTTAAAAAAATAATTGTTTTTGAATTATTAAAATAATGACAGTTAAAAAAATTACTATTGTATTAATTATTCCATTTTATTTCAAGATTCACATGAAATTTAAAAAAGTAAAATGTTATAATATGAAATAGATATTTTAAAATCAGAGTATTACAATTTTATTTGATTTTCTTCTCTAAGATGAAACTATTATAAATTCATCAAATACTATGCAATTAAAACTACTTTAATGACGAAAAAAATAAGCTTAAATACTTAATAGTGACATGTATTTCAGAGAAATGGATCAAAGATGGAAAATTTTTTTTGATTGTTTAATTTTGTTCTTTATATTATCAAAGTTAGAAAATGTTTTTTTTTTTTTTGCAAAATTAAAATTTTAAGTGCAATAACTACTGTATTTATAATGGATTGCACACACCTCAACATTCAGTTACAGCAATTCAATTACAACAAATGAAACAAAATTTTAAAGCTATATATAATATAAAAAAACACAACAATATGATTTTCAATACACAAATTTTACAAATCTTTTACAGTATGGTATATCCCAAAACACAGTACTGCATACAATTCGATATCGCACTCTTTGGCCTCGACTGAAGTTGTAATCGGTGAAAAACTAATACCACTAATGACATTTATTAGGAAAATATTGAATTAAGTATCCTAAAGTAGAAACGAACTCAGCTCGGGTTTCACAAAATAGAAACTTTAATTTTTCTCCTGCCTGAAGTCAATTCAGGCATCACAAATACTGCCCGTAGCCCGTAGTAGTTGCTCGAACTGGATTCGGGTGACACTGGCAAGGGATTAAACTGTATCAGTTTTTTATTTTACTCACAAGTTGAATCTATTTTTAAAAAAATTAAATTGAATTAGAACAAATTTCTTTAATTGTAAAATACATGGTTTCCATTACTATAAATATGAAGCCGTGATAAAAAAAGCCATTCTGGAACATGAATTTTTGTACTTTCCTCAGATGAGTAATTAAATACAAAACTTCCTATGTTTTCATATCAAGTTTAACTTCTGATATTATTTACTCTATAAATATAGTTAAATTTATATATCTATAGTTTGTGAACTGCAATTGCTCAGTGGTCAAAGGAATGATTTGTCATTATTGTGAAGAACTGGTGTTCAATCCCCAGTGGTGTCTCAAAGCCCACCCAACTTTAGATTAATGGTTGCCATCTTGTCTGTGAAGTTAAGCGGGCTGTGTGCAGCATAGATTATATCACCCCACTTATATTATTGGCTAGGAAATTGTGAAGCCTTAACCTCCATGGCCCTCTTTTCCCACTGTGTGCTGTTGTTGGAATGCTTTACTTATAAATGTAGGTTATATATAAGTTTTGTTCTATGTTTCAGGCAAATCTGTGATCTTACTAGAGTAAAAACTATTTTTGAGTTTTTACCTACTCGTGGTAAAGAGCCATCTGTAAAAATCATTCTGAAAGGAAAATCAGAAGAGGTTGAAGCTGCTTCTGAATTGATTGACAAGCTTGTTGCTGAAGCAGAAGTGAATTCTGCCAAACAAGTTCATGTTGCTGGTCGGGCATTACCTCAAAATTTGCCCTTACAGATGACTACATTTGTAAGTAAATTCATACCAGCTAACTTTTGTGAGTTTTACAAAAAAAGGAGTAGTTTTAGTATGTGATTCTTATTTTAAAAGAATTCTTTTGAAATGATTATAATCACCACAAAATAAAAAGTTAATATATATACAGTCAGACCTCGATATAAGGTCACTCCGCATATAAGGTCACTTTTTCAAAGTCCCGGCTCTCTGAATAGGAAGTCTTTGTTACAGATTATTGGATATATGGTCAAGTCTTAAAAATCGTTATCGCTTATAAGGTCATTTTTATCTGAGGCGAGGGAAGCTCTTTTCTAACAAAAGCTTATTTAACTTCCTTACAAGGCAATTACCCCTTTCGAATTCTAGAAAAATATTGCAGCCAACGAACAAGCTACAATTTCTGAAATTGTTTCACAAGTTGTGGACAGTAAGGACAATGACAGTGATCCTGAGACTGTAGCTGTAACCCAAGTGGAAGCCTTCAATGCAATAAATGTCATATGAGATTTTTTTACAAATCATGAGAGAGCTGAGGAACATTTTGAGAAGTTACAAAATCTAGAAAACATAGTTCAAAAATTGAAACCAAAAACGAGACAGACCTGCATAAATGATTATTTTAAATAAGGTAAGATGTAATATATGTATGCACACTTTAAGGAAATTTGAAAATAGCTTTATTTTAAATGTAATTTTTTTATATAAAAATCTAACTTTCTTTAATTCTTTACTAATTCTGTTAAAATTTATTGACTTAAATATTTAATTTATGGCCGATTGTTTTCGTTTGTATTACCATTTTTAAAAAATCATAATGTGTACTATTTACGTGCTTAGTTACGAACTGCTAATGAATCGGTTAAAAGGTCACCCCGCTTATAAGGTCACTTTTCCGATGTCCCTTAGGGTGACCTTATATGATGGTCTGACTGTCTGAGTATATATATATATATATATATATATATTTAAAGAACCCCGAAAATAATGCTGAGGATGTGTGAAGTGATTTAAAAGTTTTCTAAATTGCATTTACTTCACTTTTTTTACTACCACTGTGAATATAGTATAGCTTTATAGGACTATATATTATTCATAATGATCGCATTGCAAAATAACTATGAATTTCATGTTAATGTTTTTCATTTAAATCTCTGTATAATTGTGTTATGCTGCCATAGGCTAATTAATTTTTCAAATTTACGTGGCCTTTTAAATGTGAAAATATTTATGTTGTGAACAATTATTGTCTAGAAGATAAATTATTTCTTTGGAGTATAAATATTATTCAACTTGCGTATTATAGACTATTTGTTTATTGAATCACAGAAAGATGAGTACTTTTTTATTAGACAGACCTGATTTTATTTGGGGTGTATACACATTCTGGAATTCTGGGTTTTCGTATCATCCATCAGGGACTGAGTGTGGTATGTGATTTATCTGTGTATCTCAAGACCATTGGTACGCACATTTCCATGAATCATATGTCAAAATTTTTACAGAGTTTCGCAATCTAAGATTTAATTTTTGAAACTTTCACTAAATCCCTTGAACAAAACTATATTCCCATTACGTAACAAGATGTGCAACATAATCCCATTAACAAGACGTTTGCTAAATCCCATTAATTCTTCTGCCCATTAATTCTTCCCATTAATTCTTCTATTTTCCTTTTTGAATTTTTTGTATATACTTGATTTAAAAGTTAAACGTGGCAATTTGTGTTCAGGATAATTGAAAATTCAATATTTTAATTTATATGTTTTTAAAATAAATATCGTGATTCGTATGCAGGCTTCCTCCATTTAGCAGATTTTGAATATTTGGAACTGCGCTATTATCAGCTAATGTCATGGTTCATAATCTTGTAATTTTCATGTCAAGCATAGACTTTTGTATTTACCTGATTCAAAAGTTGCAAGTTGCAATTTGTATTCACACAATTTACAAAACCAATATGGTTCTATGAATTTATGCGTTTTTAATATGCATATCATGATTTTTATTCACACTCTCATACAATTCAATATTGTCATTCGTATTCATACTTTTATAAAATCCAGTGCGGCTATTCGTATTCTTCGTATTTACGTGTGTATAAAATCCAATATAGTATTTCGTATTTATGCTTTTCTAAAATTCAATGTTGCAATTCTTATTCACTTATATGTAATGTTGAACATCTCTTTTATTATTTATTCGCGGTTAAAGGCCACACACTGCTATTCGTATTTTTGCAACTGAATTTTTTCTTAAATTAATTCTATTGACGTGTGATACTCTTCATTGTAGGTAATTTAAATGTAAATCTTAGTTCAAAAAATTATGTTAAATATGAAACATGCATGGTACATAAATTGATATTTTGATGTCAAGTTTTTGCTCATAAACTTTTCAGGGTTATTCACTTTGTGTCACTATTACCCCTAATTACAAAATGCCAGTCTAGGTAATTAATGGCGTATGTTTTATGTATCACAACTAATACTTAAAATACATGCTCTCAAGAATACAAAATACAAGATCCAATTTTACCAATGCAAATTTGTTGGTAATATTTAAATTTTAGAAAATTATATTATTAAAATTTTAAATAATTAGTTTTGTTAAACATAAATTCTTAATGCAGGTTTAAATGTAGTGTAGTATGATAATAAAATATAAATAAAAAGTTACTATTGTTACAATATTTTTACTAATAAAATTGTATTAAGAATATCCATTAAAGGGCAAATCCCTCCCCATAAACAGTTTAAATCTTAGAGGAGAGATTTACATAGCGAGAACCAGACCCCATTCCTCATTGATTGCAAAGAGCGTTGTCACATGATTCTGGGGCGATTTTCCCTCAAGTAAACCCTATCCCCAGACTTTTACTATGGAGGTGAATTGCTGAGCTATGTTTTGACTATAAAATTCAATTTAAAATGGTCACATCCTGGTGTGCATAGAGATGTGAATAAAAATTCATAAAAGGAGGACCTTTTACATTTCACAATTAAGATTTTTATTCTTTTATATTTGTTTTTAGTCTTTTATTTGCATTTTACATGATAGCATAGAAAGTTATTGAATGAATTTAATTGGTTTTTAACTTGCAAAATAGCTACTATTTTTTTAGATGTTTATTTATGTTGATAGATTATAATGTCGTTAACATATATAGGCATTTTCATTGCAATTAAATTTGATATTGATATAAAATTTTGGATATTTTTATTACTTTTTCAATGAAGCACGTGCATCGGATTTTACACATTATTTTCACACCAATATTTTTAACAAATTTAAAAAAAATAAGATATGTGTAGTATTAACAATTCTTAAAGTAAAGCATTCCCACAATGGCTCGTTGAGGGGCAGGGGATCATGGAGGTTAAGCTGCTACAATCTCGTAACCAGCAGCCATAATGGTGGCAAAATATTCTGGTGAAATGTGACCACCAGCTATGAATATTTTGCCAAAAGTATAGTCACCTTATCAGTTCATCTTTGACCAAGTTTTCAGAGCCCAAACAAAAGACTGGCTATCTCTACCCTAATATCTCCTCTAAAGTTTAAATATGAGTTCTAAATTTTTATATGAAAAGCATTTTCTGATTCTATTACTAAACAATGCCATTTAATATTCTTGATAAATTCCTCAGCATTATTAAGTTTCAGTGACAACATTATTTTTTTGAAAATCTCAGAACTCCAACAAAGTATGATACAGTTGCAAATTTTTTTTTAAAAAAAAAAAAGGTGAAAACACTTTAAAATTGAAAAACTCATATTGTAAAAAGGCAGTCTGATTTTGTTAAATATTTTTGTTTCGATTTCTTGTGCTGATGAAAGTTTAGTTATAGAATAAGCTAAAATTCCATAGCTTCAAGTAGCAATTGACAGTTAAGCCAGGTGTTTGATTTTTTTTATCATTATTCAAAGAATCCTTGTTAATTTTTAAATTAAATTTTAATTTATGCAAAGATGCTATCTCGTTCCACTTTTTAGATGCATCTTCTTCTAGTGTAACAAAATTTGTGTTCTAATCTTTGATTCTTGGTGTTTGTAAATTTGATTTTAAGACATTTTCCCTTCCATACCATAAAAATAATTCATATATTTAAAATTCTGCTTTTTCAAGTCATTTCATACTAAGATTTCTAAAACATTTTCAGAATCAACCAAAATTCTGAAAAACTTAAATCTTCAAGTCTCTACCGCTTAATATAAGCTCTTCCAAAAAGCAGAATAGCTGCCATCCCTGTTTATGTACATACAAATCTAAATTATTAATGTTTGAGTGGTGTTGTATTGTTGCAGTGAATAATAATTTTCTGAATATTAAATAAATAACATATATTTGATAAAATTTTAGAGTTTATTGTTTTGATTTAAAAAGCTTCCCTTTTCTCTTTATTCAATTATTTCATGTAATGAAATTTTTTTTCCAGATTTGCTGGTAATATTTTTTAGTAGTTAATAATAGTTATTAGTTAATAACATTTTTATGTTCATTCCAAAATCAAGTTAAAGGCAAGTCAAATGTTCAACATTGCAATTTTAATTTTTATCATTCAGAGCAAATTTCAATTCATTGCAAATCAAGTCTTAAGAATATTTAATAAAAATGAAGCTAAAATACATTTTGCAAGCCCAACATATTGCAACTATCCATTTCTATTTTAGATAAACAGGAATCTTCCATGTGAAAAGCTGATACCAAATAGTTCTGATGGTTTTTTAGAAGTGTATGTCTCAGCTGTGGAAAATCCTAGCAAATTTTGGGTACAAATCAGTGGATCCAAATCAATACAACTCGACAAACTGGCAACTGAGATGACAGATTTTTATAATGTAGAAAAGAATAAAATTAGGTTTCAACTGAACTCAATCAGTGTTGGAGATATAGTTGCTGCTTTCTTCCAGGGCGATAACAGCTGGTACAGGGCCCAAGTCGTCAAGGTCTCCGAAGAAGACAGCGAAGACAAAAAAATTAGTGTGTTTTACCTTGACTTTGGTGACTGTGCTGTACTCTCACCATCCTTAATTAGTGTTCTAAAGCCAGACTATTTATCAATACCCTTTCAGGCTATTGCATGTAGTTTGGCGGATGTATCGCCAATCGATGGTGAATGGTCACAGGAAGCTTCTGAGGAGTTTGAAAAAATGGTGTATTTAGGCCAGTGGAAAGTATTGATGGCTAAACCATTTAAGCAGGATATGCAAGAGAACAGCGAAAATCCTCAGGATTTTGTTGACCTAGTTCAGCTTTTAGACACCAACTCTGATGAGGACATTGATATTGGGAATGTGCTTGTTGCTAAGGGATTTGCTAAGCAATTAAAATAGCTGTTTTAATAATAATTTTTTAAGCAAATTGTGTGTTATAAGATTTGCTTCATTCATTGCCTCTGTGCCTCACATTTATAAAGATATTGTTATGTGGCATATAAAGTATTTGTTGTGATACCAAAAATTATTTTTAACATTTTTTGTTATTGTACAGAAAAACCCACGTTTAATGAGAGGTGTTGGAAACAGAAAGATGCCCAGTAAATCTTACTAAATCTAAATTCAATGCTAGTACATAAAATTTAAGCATAGAAAAACAGCTTACATCTATTGTTCCCAGATAATAATCTTCAGTAAGAACTGAAAATATGTTTGCTCAACATCGTTTCTTTGTGTTTACATAATTTTGTTCCCTTTCATTTTTGTTACATATCATTAAATGCATTAAATTTTTCATCATCTGTATTTTTTGCATTTTTCAAAGTTGTTAAAAATTTAGTGCTGATTCTACAGGACTAATATGTCTGGTGTGTTAAAAAAAAAATTCTTCTTTGTCTCATAATTCGTCTTCCTAGTTTTTTAAAAACTTTTATCATTATTTCTAACATTATACTCCCAAAGTTATTTCCCTTGTTATGTAAGAAAATATACACAAAAATATGCTCACTAAAAGAGCTCTTTTACATTTATGACATGGTAAGTACTAGATAAATTATTAAATTTCTTCGTAAAATCAGGAATCTAGGTAAATGTGTGCTCATTACAAATAGCTGCTTCGGTATTTACTTTAAAACATAAGATATGTTTTAAAAATAATAGTTTTATCTCTTTATGGCATTCAAAGTTTATGAATTATAATTAGGATGAAAATAGTTTTTTAATAATAATTATGTCTTATTACCTGAATTATAAATAAAAAGGGCTTGAGGCAATACCATGATAAATTATAATTTCAAATTGTTCTAAAAATTATTTCTATGGTGAAAAGCACCTAGCTTTCATTGTAGGAAATAAGATGTTTCAGTGTACTGTACTGTTATCTAGTTGAAATTCGAAGTCTTGTAAAATTTATCAAGAAATAATACAAATAAATTGTTTAACATAAAAATGTCGCTATATTACACCATATTTTTCATACATATTTTAACAAAATGAAAATCAAAATAATTTGAATTAAAATTAATTATAAGTTTTGAATCCTGCCATTAATTGTTCGTTTTATTTAGGTGTTAAAATTATAAATGGAATAATTATGAAGAACAGATATTATTTCCACAACTAAACTTTTAATTGTTTTTTTTTTTTTTTTTTTNTTTTTTTTTTTTTTTTTTTTTTTTTTTTTTTTTTTTTTTTTTGTTCATTCCGACTGAAAAGAAAAAAACACTGAACTTGACTGTTTATTTTTATTCTTTTGATATTATTTATTGCTTCTTTGTTTTTGGTTTCTTTAAATAGCTTACAAGGCCTAAGCTTATAAATTCATACGTTATATCTTATGGTACTATTATGAATAATAAAATTTTGTAAAGAAGTTTAAATCTTCAATTGATCTGAGCTAATATTTAAAATATAATGTAATTAACCATGTTTAAAAAAATGTGAATCATATATTTCTAGTGTCTTTTTGTTTCATGTGCTTTTTTTAAATGTAGATTTTGATTTAAAACTGAGTTTGAATAAACCTGGGTTTTTTTCATAAAAACCCAGCCCACTTTTTTTTTCTTCTCAGAAATATTTTACATTTTTATTTCTGAGTCCTTGACAAGATTGCAAGATTTACTTGTAATATAAAAAGTTAAATATTTGATAACTATTTATCATTTGTTTTGTTACAATGTAACCAATTTTGTGTGAGTTATAGATNCTGCCAACTCTTCCGGATTTTCCGGAAGATTTTATTTTTATATTTAAAGTGGTAGTAAATATGTACTTTTTTTCTTTTATAAACTTAATTTTTAAATGATTTTGATCACCACTATTCTTACAAAAATTAAGCACATATATTAATATGCGTTACTATCATGGTTGTCAACTTAAGGTTTCTCAAATACAACGTATTTGTTTGCTTAAAATTGAAGTTTTAATTCCATTTTAATACCACTGGGGAAAATGATAATGGAAAGGATTAAAAGTTGGCAGGTATGGAATCATATATTTTTAGTGTCTTTTTATTTCATGTGCTTTTTTTTAAATGTAGATTTTGATTTAAAACTGGTTTTTTTTTTCATAAAAACCCAGCCCAGTTTTTTTTTCCTCAGAAATATTTTACTTTTTTATTTCTGAGTCCTTGACGACATTGCAAGGTCTACTTGTAATATAAAAAGTTAAATATTTGGTAACTATTTATCATTTGTTTTGTTACAATGTAACCAATTTTGAGAGAAGTTATAGATTACTAAGTTATTTTTTTTACTAAAAACAGATTGTTACATAAAAATGTAATATTCTATAAAAAAAAATGACAACATTTTTTACTGCATTTAGTACCTGATTCTATTGGGATAAAATTAAAATTTTCAGCCTGTTATCATTGCACTATTATCTACCATTTTAGTTTTTAAATTTCTATTTGACTTTTAATTTGGTTTCATAGAATTATTTAAATATTTTTTGCCAAGCAGATTTCTTAGCAATATTATGTAAAGTTATTTCCCAGCAGGTTTTGTATTCATTATTTTAATTGCAAATTTTAACTGGAGTTATATAAGATACATAATATGAGTTGATGTAACGAATTTACTATATAATAATTGTAAAATGCCTAAGTTGCATTCCAATTTCAATATGTTTTGTATAAAATGCTGTTTAAATAATGCAATATTACATGAATACTTTATATAATAAACAGAATACACTTAAAGTTTTAAGCCTTTAATTAGAATGATTAATTGAAATCAAGTCTTAATAATAGTAGAAAATAATAAGAAAGTATGATAAATAATCATTTCAAGTATGATAAATAATTATTACCTTTACAAAATAAATAATATATAAGTAAAATAAACATTTTCAATGTTGCAAAAAAAAAGTTGAGGTTTTTATTTTCTGAAACGTTAATAATGCTTAAGTGGATTTAAAACATTTTTCGTTTAGAGTTTTCCATGTTTCAACTCTTAAGTTTTACTCAATATAAAAATATCAAAGTTAACTTCCTTTTTTTTCTTCGTGTTTTTAAAATCTGTTGAGAGACTGATATTTAAAATCAAAAAATCTGTGATAGCTATTGTTTGATTAATTTTAAGACTACAGTTATATTTTATTTGATCAACCCACCTTTTGATTTCTTTTTATTTAATAAAATTTAGTTGAGCCTGTTTCGTGTTTTGTAATCTTTGTGTGAATGTTATTTTTCTTAAACAATGTGATGTCTTATACTGTGATACAGAAATGACATGATTTCGGTTACAGACATGATTTCGGTGACCAAAATCATGATTGAATACAGAAATTTAATAATTGAAACATATTTATTGTGATAATATAAATCTCTCTAATAGTTTAAATATTTAAAAAAAAAATCCAAAACGGGGAAAAACTCCAACGCTTGATTTCAAAGTACTTCTATTATCCCTATCACTGAGGCATGCTGCATGTAAAAGTTCCCTGGAACGCCTTATTGGTTCTTGGCATTTCCGGCAAAATTAAATTCCTAGTGCACTTTAGCGTCCAAAATAGAGTCTCGGTGCTGCCATCTAGTGTGGCAGAAACTAGATATCTAAATTCACATGACCAACGGTATCTCACCCATTGTGGTGGTCCTGAAAGAGTGGATACCACCTCTGGAGAATGCACTAGGTCTGCTCATCAGGAAAACTGATTGTGCAGCTCATTGGAAATAAAAAGAAGTTTACGTTAAAACTTACCCGCCTGCTATTTCTATTTGATTACCGATAACGAATGGAATTTTCCTTATTTAAACACCTTTTGCCCCTAATTGGTTGCAACACATTCAGTTTGAAAATTTTGTCCCAAATTAATCGCTACATTTCAAGTAGATAGAGTTATAAATACCTTCCGATACAGTTGAGTAGATGAATCCGAGTAAGGTTATGCTCTTACGATCAATATTGGCGATCGAAATGGAATACAGATGGCACAAATAAGAACTCTCTACCTATGGCAACACTTCGTGTGTTTCGACATTAGCGTATGCATTAAATTGGGGAATTGTATGGAACTGAAAACTTCATAATTCTAAAAGAAAGCTTCGTGGAAGTTTTAGAAAATATTTTTGTCAAATACGAAAAAATATTATGGAATGAGAAAATGTACATTCTGAATTCCCATACAACTGAGAGGAAGGGTGGGTTAAGACCTGGAACAGGCCTTTTCCACAGATGGTGTATTAGAGTGCTGCAATAGCGAATAGCGCTGTATCTGGAGTATGAATTTTAACAAGATGGAGCGTTACTTAAGAGCGTACAAACTTTTTATTTTTTATACTGATTTGGAATGCTAGGTAATGTTGGCTGATAGCATAGCACCCTAAAAATTGTTCAAACAGAATCCTAAAATCAGTACATAAGTATTCAAATGTAGCAACTAATTTGATCAGAGGTGCTACAAAACATGGTTCTTATACAGTATGATAAAAAAAAGTAAAATAGTGGTTGAAATCTATTTCACTAATTTAATTATTTTTTATAACTACCACCAACTATTGCCATTATGAAGGATACATAACTAGATCTAAAATCTATTCTATTGAGTATTTTTGTTTGGTAATAAATTGAAAGAAATAAGTAGGGAAATTTTGCTAGTTCTTGTTCAATCGATTTGATTTTATAACCGTCGTTGAATAGCAGAAACAATTTTAGTTATACGACTTCCTATTTTCAACTTCGTAGCCTTGTGATTTTTAACCGGATTCAGAAGACAACTGAATTCCTGGATCAAGTGTTAGGAGAAATTCGCCTTCATGCAAGACTTTTTTGATTGAACTAGCCGCATTTCCGTTACACGAAGCAAACCACCTTTTTGTACTTTACTCGTCAAAAATTTTAATGCTTTGAAACTTACACAGAAGTAGGAATGAAAGAATAAATTTCAGATTTGATTGTTTGTTCGAGAATTATAAAGTGTTAAACTAAATTCGGGACAGAATGGACTAATACTATTGTATTTATGCACTAAATGAATACCATTCGGGCCAATCTACAGATTTACGTACTCGTTTTTTTTTTTTTTAATTTCTTTTTAGAAACAAAGAACAATTTTACGATTTTTTTTCTTTTAACATTTGATTAATTTCTTCAGATCTTTATTTTATAAGCTCCTGATTGAGTGGCTGTCAAAAGTTACCCAAATAAGAGCGATAAAGATATTCGATGTTGCCCAGAGATGCCAACTGCTCCGGACACGCCAAATTAATTGAAAATACGGTAAATAACTACAAAGTAATTTTTGACTATTTTTGCTTGCTTTTCAAAAGGTATCATATGTCAAAAGTTCTTAGAAGTAGGGAATTATATAAGCCTACGAATTATTTAGAGATAGTGGTGGATAAAAATCTACTGAATTGAATTTATTAAGTTTTAATCCACCACTATTTCTACATAATTCGAAGGCTTATATAATTCTCCACACTGTCATAATTACATACCTTCCAACTTATGAGGATTTTGAAAATGATTCTCTCTAGTGGTAGCGAACTAAAGTAGAAATTTTTAAAGCAAATGGATCTCTCATAAAACTTTTATCAGAACTTAAGAATCTAGCCCTATGGCCTGCACTTTTATAAGTAATAGTGGACAAGTTACACTAAAATTAGTTTTTTTTAAATATTAAGACATTAATTTTGCTACCGTCTGAAAAGAAGATTTCTGAAACTACGGANTAATTCTCCACACTGTCATAATTAGAGCAATGCCCAGGTGCCCAGTAAAATCTAAACACTAGGACTAGGATAATTAGAGCAATTGAGCATCTAGCAGAGAAACACTAAATACACAATCACAACACAAACCCTGTAAATATCTTGTAAATAATGTACATAGCTTATTTTACTTTCCTTGTTCATATTATATAATTGTTTATTTTATTCTTATATTCATTTGACAAACAAGAATTAGTTCAATGTGCTCTATATCATAATTTTTTGAATTTTGGAGTTCGCTCCTAC